CCCAGCCGCAGGGCGCGTGGGGCAGCACCCCAAAGGTTGCCGTCTCGCAGCCGCCGCCCGCGAGGCCGCCGCCGCCCGCGCGGCCGCCCGCGCCCGCCGCGCCTGCAGCTCCGCAAGCCGAGGACGTCCTTCTTTGGGATTATGGCGCGCCGGACGCCGCGCCGCCCTCCAACAATGGCTCCGCCGCCAAGCCGAAGAAGAAGAAAGGCGCGAAGGGCGCCGCCGCCGCCGAGGAGGCCACGAGTCGCGGCCGCAACGGCTCGGCGCCCGAGGCGGCCCTGCTATTGCTGCTACGAATAGCACGACGACAAAACTACATTCTCCTACCACTACCGCCTAGCACGCCGGTGGTGTGAGTGGCAGCGCTCTCCCCCTCCCCCCAGGCGGGCGCAGAGTTCGACCTCGGCGACGGAAGTATGCCAGAGTCGCTCGGCCGCTGGTGCCGCAAGCAGGAGGCGCCTCCGACACGCCGCCTCGTTCTTTTGTCAACGAGCTTCTTTTGTGTATTCTTTTGTGTAGGTGCCGCGAGCAGATGGCGTCTCTGACGGGGAGCGGCGACATCACCCTCGCAAGCTTCCTCTTCTCGCTGACGGACGACTCGGAGGCGCGGAGGCCGAGATTGGGCGAGATTGGGCGAGATTGGGCGAGATTGGGCGAGAGATTGCCCGAGGCCGTCCGAGGAGGCGCGCATGTCCGCCCCGCCCGTGTAGAGTCGAGAGCCATCTCTCGGTGATGCCAGACGGGACTACCCGAGGTTCCCTGAGATTGCGATTGACCACTCGAGATCACCCGAGAGTACCCGAGATTCTCTGGGGGAGGACTCGCTGGCCTCCGGCCATCTCCGGTGATCTCTCTCCGCCACTTCGACGCTCCACCTCGAGCAAAGCCCTGTGCAGTAATAAAGCCACTCTGTGGAAGTGGGTGGTTGCATGGGAGTAGCAGCCTCCGCCCTCCCTCATTCCTGACGCCTCGCCATCTCGCGCCTCTCCCTTCTCTCTCTCTCTGCCTCCCGTCCGCCAGGTGGAGTCGTACCTGGCCATGTACCTCGGCGCGTCGGCGGCCGTCTCTGCCTTCGCCAAGGAGTTCACGCTGCGGAAGAAGGCGAGAGGAGCAGCGAGGGGGAGAGGGGGGCAGAGGGGGGCAGAGGGGAGTTGGGACGGGCTAGGGGAGAAGAGGGGAGCTGGGACGGGCTAGGGAGCAGAGAGGGGCGGTGCGGTGGCGAGCCAACCCCCCCCCCCCCCCCGCCCAAAGCCCTTCTTGCCCCCCGTCTCGCCAAAGTCCTTCTTTCCCGCCCCCTCCAGGCGGCGCGCGGGCTGGGTGAGTCTCGCGACTGGCAGACGCAGAAGCGGCACGGCAAGGCTGCGCCGGCGCCTGCGGACGAGGACGGCTTCGAGGAGGCGCCGGTCACCCCCTCTCGCGGACGCGTCCACGACACGTCCGAGGCGCGGCCCTGTAGGATGGTTTCGAGGAGGCGGGCAAGGGGAAGCGCAAGGGCAAGAAGAAGGCGGTCGTGCCCGCCGTCGCTCGGCGTCTCCGCGCCCTTCGGGGGCCTTCCACGAACTTTCCCGGAACCTTCCTGTAGGCGGTCGACCCGTCGTTGCTCGGCTTCTCGGTGGAGCCACTGTCGCGCCCGTGCGGGGGGCGGCGTGGCCGTTTGCTCACCTTTGGCCGCCGGACGGGACTAGGTGGAGTCGTCCCGCATCATGCAGGGCGAAATCGACTTTCCAGAGTAGCGACCGGCCGTCCCGGACTCGCCACCGTTGGCGCTCCCCCTCTGGCGCTTCCCGCCCCCTCCTCCTTCCCCCCCGCCGCCGGTCAATATGCGGCGGGGGGGGAGGGTGGGGGGGGGGCAGCAGGGGGCGCTGGTCCGAGGAGGAGGAGGAGGGGGGGAGGGGCAACTTGGCTCGCCGCGTCGCCGGGGCTGCGCTCGACGCGCGCACGGCGGCAGGGGGCGGTGGGTGGGCCGGGAGGGGTGGGCGTGCGCCCGACGTCCCCGCCTCCCTCTTTCCCGCCCGTCTGCTGCGCGCTTCTGAAGAAAGATCGATCTGGGGCGGTCTCTGTCCGCCGTCGCTCTCTGGTTTGCTTTGTGGGCTCTGGCGGCCTTTTTTGTAGTGAACGCGAAAAGAATACGCCCGGCCGCCACCGTCTTCTCTTACAGATATAGAGCTCTAGATCCAGAAAGCGGGCGGAAAGACCGGACACTCCGACACTTAGGAAGGGGGGGGGGGGGGGGACAAGCGTAAAAGGCAGAAAAGGCTGACCGCTCGCAAAGAGGACGCGGCGGCGGCGGCCAGAACATACAGGCCCTTTTCTCGCGGCGGCACGGGGTGCCCATCCAATATCACCCCCCGCGGGCGAATCGGTCAGGCCGACCGTCAGACCACGTTCGTCCGCAGCGCTCGCTCACCAAGTTCTATGGAAGGCGTGTCGTCACTCCCTGATAACAGCGAGGGCGAGGAATTGCGGACGCCCACAGGGGCAAACTCCTCAACGGCGCTGTGCGTTGGCGGCCGCTCCATTCCACTGTCCACCACTCCGGAGCTAGCAGCAATTTTCTCGGATGAGTGGCTTGCGAGTGAAATCTGGCCTGCAGCAACAGTGCTGATCTCTGCGATTGAGCATTGTGATAGCTGGCGGACGCTTATTCAAACCGCAGAACTCGTGGTGGACCTTGGCTCCGGGACTGGCGCGTGTGGCATCGCGGCCGCGGCACTCGGCGCTCAACGTGTTCTGCTCACTGATCAGCCCTCTGCGCTGCCTCTACTGCAGCACAACGCCTCATGCAGTGGACTGTCCTCCGCAGTTGCCGTGAGCGCGCTCGAATGGCAGACGGAGTGGGAGGTCGGTCCGCCCCTTCCTACTGGCACCAATGTTGTGTTGGCGTCTGACTGCCTCAACACAGTCTATGGCACCACCCACGCAGCCGCACTCGCTGGCACCATGTGCGCTTTGTTGCGACGTGGCGCGCCAAACGCGATTGGGCTGATGGCTCAGACTGCGACAAGGAAGTGCAAGGCAGAGGCCACTTTCATGGCGGTGTGCAGGGCGCTCGGGCTGATCGTGCAGTCTGTAGACCATGCTGCGCCTGCATTGGATAGCGAGGCGGGAGCTCGAGTGTCGCTGCACGAGGTGCGCCTGTGCTAGTCCACCACCGGGGAAGGGGCGCTTGGTAGCGGGGGCGGGGGCGGGGGGCGGGGGGCCGGGTCCGGGCGCGGGGGCGGGGGCCGGGGGCGGGGCGCGGGCGGCGGGGGCCGGGTGCAGCCCACACCCGGCCGTCGCTTTTTGAGCGAGGTCGAAGGAACGCCTGCGCAGGGGCCGCAGGGCGGTCAGTTGTGGGGCGAGGCGGTGCCGGCCGCGGGCCGGGTGCAAGGCGCCGGCCTCGGCGCCGCCTCGGCGCGCCGCACGGGCGCGGCGAGCCTCTGAGCGGGAGCCGAAGGTTTGCTGCGGTAGGTGAGGTGGGGTGGTTTGACTTTGCCGCAGAGGCCGTCCCTAGCTGTTGAACAGCAAAACGCGACAGTAGGGAGGGGTGTACCTTCCGTGAAACGATTTTTGAGGTGTGAATACACCCCCTAGACGCGACGCCCCCCGAACCAACGGGCCAGACCCTTCCAGAGGGTGCCCCAGGGACGCCCAAAACCGCCCACAGCAGCCCCACAACCCTTAAACAGTACTCGGCACAACCACTCAAAGTTGGCCTCCCCCGGAGGTGTTTCACATTAAAGCCGTAGGGGCACCCTCCGGCAGGCCGCCCTGAGCCCCCTAGGCGGGCCGCCGCTGCTCTAGCGCGCAGCGACCCGATGGGCAAGGGGCCCCTACCCACCACAGACACCCTCACGCCCTCTCCCCCGGCCCGCCGCGGCACCGAGGGCGATTCTGCGCGAGGGATCGCTTCTGCGGAGCCGCAGCGGCCGGCGGCGCCGCCGCCAGCGCGGCCCGCGCGGCCGGTGGCGCCGGTAGCGCGAGCAACGGCATCGGCGATGGCGCGG